GGCAGTGTATATTTCAATGTTCTGGCGGTAGATTCATTCGATTTAGCTCATCCTATCGATGAAAGCAGCGTGCGGCCAGCCGCAAGCTTGGGGACTTACCTGTTGGTGAGTTATGTAACTGCACGATCAATCAAGCAGCATCATACATAGCATTCCATAGTTAAAGAAGCATCGGTCCGCGGGGACCTAAAGAACTCCACATGCCAATGCATAGACCACATACCACAGTGTGTAGACTCAACCAAAGAAGAAAAAAAAATGAACGAAAAGAAAGAGGAGAAAAGAACACACTGCGACACGTCATCATCCTCCCGAACGTGATTGTAAGCTTTCAAATAATCAATGTGAAAATCAGCCTAGGGAGCCTGGGCGTAAGTGAGTGTCATGTTCATGTCATCAAAATCCAGAACCAAGCTCGTCGGCGGATGCCGACTTGTTTTGTATGGTAGCCGGAACCGGAACTCCTCAGGAGTCTACATCATGAAGAGTGACTTCAAACGCGTTGCAAATCCTATTTAAAGTGGCGTAGACCATCGAGGACCTAAATAGACAAAAAAAACAAGAAGGCAAAACTCACACAAATAGTCTATCGGGCCTCCCTTTTTTTTATCAGGAGCCCCTCGCAACACCTACAGCCAAACAAATCTCTAGGGAACCCAGTACTTCACCAGCCAACCCCCACTGAGGCCTACAAAAACACAGAACGGTCGTACTAAAGGGCCTCCTACCTGCACACGCTATTGGCCCGCAAAGAACTAAAAGGAATCGGAAGAAAATTGTCCCACCCCGTTAGAAGGTAAACCCAGTCGTCCCGAAACCCTCCAAATTTCGAAAAAAAATAACCAGAGCCTTATCAAAATTTGTATCTTTGTAGTCTCGTAGTCTCAGCTTAATTTATAGCATCAGTAGGAAGGTATCCTCAGCAGCTGGTAATGAAATGAATCTTTTCGCTCTGTGCATCAACGACCCCACCACTGCCATCTTCTGCCGTTTACTTACAAACGAACAGTCATTTTGCAGATTTTGGAAAGACACTCTTTTCTCAAGCATCGTCCTCTGATTTTTATGGACAGCGGCACACCTGACCCCAACCGGCCAATCGACCATTCTCAGCACACAACCCAAGAAATCCCAACTCGTCGATCTGTCTGTGCATTCTAAAGTAAGGTTACGATTATTGCAACCTTCAAACTTCCTCATAATTACGTTTGCTTAATTGAACGACACCTCGTCTCCCTCCTTGTATCTCACAAAGAGACACATATCATGAATCAGGTGGACCCCGTGAACCAATCCCCGATCCTTTCCCGAAGAAGATAGAAAAGAAAATTCAGCATAAACACACAAGAGACAAGCGATAGCAGGGCTAGAGGGTTTCCCCATATGAATACCTACTATCTCCTACAGAATTCTTCCGCATACAGAGACAAAAGTATGCTTCAGGTCAAAGGTCACAAATTACCGCACAACATCAAAACCCACCAACTCTCATCCGTCCTCGTTCTTCCCTCTCAACAGTTTCACGCCTTTGCCATTTTTTTAAAATTGAAACCCCTTCAATTTCATGCAAGCGTCAAAAGTCAATTAACCAATCGACAACATTCATAATCGAGACGTGAGGGAGATTACAAAACATCTCTTTCTCATCGGAAGTTGCAGTTAACAACCCTTCCTCTTTCTATAAATCTTTATTTACTCCATTTAGAGAATCTAACAGCATATCTGTGCATTTCAAATTAAAATTCGAACATTTCGGAAGCTCCCAAACCAGTTGGTTGACGACCTGAGAAACTTTTCAACTACCGTGTACACTGCACTCATAGAAGGAAGGGCATATAGGTCTCCACTTCTGAACATCCGTAAGTTTCAGAATCACATAACCCTTCCGCAACTTACCCCGCCTATCCCCTCGTGCCAGTTTCTCCAACCCATTTTGTGCATAGACTTCCTGAGTCTCTTCCAGAAAGTTATTCTCTGTCCCATCAAGGGTCACAAAACCAGGATTATTCATAAATAACATATCCATTCCTTCACGATACCTTACCGGGCAATAAACCAAGGTGTCTCCCGGATTGTGATCAATCGGGGTCAGTACCAGCCCTTCCAATTTATTTTTCCAGATAACCACCTCCTCCTCAGCCTCTTTACAACAGCAAATTCCTTCTCTATCCACTTTTTTAAGACAATCCAAAGAGGGACATAAGAACTCAATTCCCTAAAGGAACTCACACCTGTCTCTTCATACGCCCCACCACATCCTCCCTAAAAGGACGGGCAACATTCATCTTACCTGTTGGCCAGCGCGTTGGAAAACTCTCTCTCTCTCTCTCTCTCTCTCTCTCTCTCTCTCTCTCTCTC